TATATATATATATATATATATATATATATATATATATATATATATATATATATATATATAGTTAAGCTACAAGGTAGAAAAACCCAATTGGGTAAATTACATGTTGCATGTATGCATCGAAATATTTTAAATCTGAATAGGCGGTGGGCTTATGACCAGAGGAAAGAGAAAATTCCAAAACAATTTATTTGTGGACAGTTATGGAGTTTTAAAGGAATATTGAGACCTGAAGAAAACTTAGAGAATATTTATAGATTAAGGAAAGCAGAAAAGCAATATTTATTTCTCTTCATAATACAAAATTAAAAAATAGAATTTAATGGATGTAAGGTGGTGTTGCTACACACTTGTGTGCAGTAGGTGGCGATAGAAGAAGCCGATTGATTGATTGATTGATTGATTGATTGATTGATTGATTGATTGATTGATTGATTGATTGATTGATTGATTGATTGATTGATTACGATGATGATGAAAAAGAAGAAGAAGTCTTTTTGGAAGAAGACTAAATTTTGTCTTTCATTTTTTAGAAGATGATATGTATCTTATATATATGTACAAACTGAAGCTCAAACATAGAGAAACGTTTTGACTTGTAGCGTCAGATTGTCACTATGGTAACACCAATAATAATGATGATGATGATGATGATGATAACAATAATAACAACAACAACAACAACAACAACAATAATAATAATAACAACAATAATAAAGTATTAAAATTCTATATTATATTCTATATTATATTTCTTATTATATATATATATATATATATATATATATATATATATATATATATATATATATATATACATCTAGAGACATCTACAATGTGTCAAGTAGATGACACTGGTCTCTTCAGATCTTCTATCACACAAGACCTGACAAAACTTGTCAGCGGTTTATCCGAGTCTCCCAGGTTCATGTTTTCACCTGTACTCTTTTCAAAAATGTCCCTGAAAATTGCTTCACTGAGCTCCTCAATCCTTCCCAGGGACAACTTGATATCTTTGTCCTGAACTTCATTCCAGATTTCCTGGGACATCATGTCACAGAACCCATCAACATGTTTAGCCTGGAAGCTACAAGCTGATTCTTCAATCATTTTGCTCACCAGACCTTTAACAAGTGTCTGTAAGGCCGTTTTTATCTGGGTGTCTGCTCCAGGTGTCTCTTCAGGGTGTTTCTTGGCTCTGGCTGTAGCTCCGGGACAAGCTGTGATCTCTGGGATGTCTGTGGAACTTCTAGTTATTGCTGCTTCACCTTTCCCCTGGAGAAACTCCATCTGAAAGTCCCCTCCATTTGTCACTTTACTTTTTGTATGGGGTTGCTCTAACAAATCGGAGTGCGACCAACATTTTATTTTCCCACAAAGGTCACATATAAAGTCATGACATCTTTCCACTTTGCTAACTTTCTTTAACAAGTATTTCTCAAAACAGGACAGAATTGTCTCTTCAAACTCTGGGATTTTCATGACTAGCAAACACAAAGCGTCTTTATCCGTACAGAAGATTGCGTTACAAAGCCTCGAGAAGATTTTTTTGATGTATTTCTTTCTTACTCTTGAGCGAAATTGTATTTGTTTCCCCTGAACCCGATCCCAGACTTTCTCAAGGGTCCATTTGAAGATGTCCTGGAAGACGTCAGAGTAGCAAATCTTATCTGATGATTCCAGCGCCTGACACAGAACCAGCCTAATAATCTTGCTCACATATTCTTTACTGGATTGACCCTCTGAACTGAGGTCTTTCATGGTTTTCTTCTCAGCTGTGGTAAATTGTGATTGATTACAAGCCTGATTGTTCTCACTCTTAAATATTTGGACTCCTCGATGGGATGGCTGTTCTTGGAAGTCAAAGTCATTTGATAGCAGTGATCTCTCATAACAGTGGGCTTTTCCACTATCAGTTAACATCTTTACAAATTCCTTTGTGTTTCCCTGAATGGTGTATCCAAAATAGCTGAGTTCAGCCAACATTTCCTCCTTTTGAGAGACTTCCACAATGGTTGGTAACTCGGGGATACCCTCTTTGAACCAGGGGTTTCCCCCATGGTATTTTTTATAAACCCCATGTTTCCCAGTTCCTTTGATGATTGGTTTGATCAAGCCAGGTGTTTCAGGTCGCTGCTGGTCAGTTTGATTAGCCCTGTTAGATAGTTTATGAATGCTTCTCTTGACCAAAGAGCCTTTCTTCACATTGACCATGTTAGTGGAGGGTTGGATCCTTTTGATCACTTCTTTGACAACTAGTTTCTCCAACTTTTTAACGGCTTTTGAGTCAACCATCTCTGGAATGCCCAGGAACTTTGGAAGAGCTTCTGAGAGTCTGTTACCCACAATGGCTTTGACAACCTTGAGTGTGATAGACGTCCACTGGACTTTGTTCAAGACCAAAGCGGAAAAAAAAGCTGTCGCACCGACAAGTAAATGTTTCCGTAACCATGCTTTTTGTTTTTTATAATCGCCTGACAAAAACTTCCTCCAGTGCTTCTGCGGGATGCTCTGAAACAGTTCCTCGAGCTTGACATCCATTTTTCTAGAAGACTAAAACAAGATTTCTTCGGGCGGCTATGAAATTGTTATTATTCTGTTGATCCCCGAGAATCTCTGGGTTTGGAATTTTTACAGAAACAACCGAGATAAAAGTTTAATTTACAGCAAGACAGCGAAGTTAGTAACACTGGTTGAAGGATTGTTATCCTCATTGTTACGTCACGGCATAGAAACCATGTTCCGAATTATACGTTCGGAGATGAGAGGAGGTGGAGGTGCGGGGGTTGGATGCGGAGGCAATCTGGTTCCTGGGCTAATGCCCCTCTAAGCAATTTCTAAAGTCTGGCCCAGGGGGACGTTCTCAAGTTTCACTGCAGTTCCATTAACCACTTGGATGATTTGGTGAGCTCAATTAAATTATCTGTTAGAAGCTGCAGTATGTAACTTTCATAGTTTTTTTTCCCTCCCAGATGTATTAAAACCGTCATAATATTGCGACAATATAGTACAAGACAAATCTGTTAAAAAAAAAAAAAGCCTTCTACTTGTGGTACAACCAATCAGAGTCAGGAGGAGGGACTTAGCGCTGTCAGTCAACGACTTACTTTTCCAGGAAAACCATTTATCCACCGTGATCCGTGGCTATGCTAACTGGCCTGCGCATTCACAGCACTCTGGTGTGAGAAACCATCTGCTGCCTAGCACAAAGGGGGAGGTCGTCTCATGTTATGCTGTCAACATAGCGCCAGTTTTAACTAATAAAAAACATGTTCTAAAATGCATATTTAGTTACTTTAATATTTACTGGATTGCCACATCTCTTGATAATTTTGTATAGTGTTGTAGTATTTACCCCCACACCCCAAATTTTTAAAAATTTCTTACATTTCCATGTATCAGATCAAACAAATTTTAATATCAGTCATAATGATTTTTTTTGTAAGAGAAACAGAAAGCTACTCAACCCAAGCTGGCATTATGTGAAAAATGAATTACCAACTGTGAAAGTCAAACTGACCACATTTTCTGGATCATAACCAGTTCTATTCCCACCGTTACATCTAAACAAAATAAAAATTAGAAAAATGTCATGATTTAAAACACTGAAGTACTGATTTGTATCAAGTGTCTAATCATAACACTTCAAATAAACGGTTTTTAAAGACAAACTATGTTATTGGTTTAAGCAAAACAACCAGCTGCTGTTCAGTGGAAACAGGAATCTTACAAGTAAAAAAATAAACATGACAGGTTCAAATATGAATAGTCTTCACTAGTTTTATTTACAGATGCACTTTTCCCCCCCAGATACTCCTGAACTGACAGAGGTCCAGATGAGTGAAAACATTACAGGCTTTTCCATCAGCAGTTTTATTTTAATCAACCATTTATAGTTTCCACAGCAGGATTAATAATCTTTCTTACTTTATATCCGCAGTTTATGACAAACGTTGCAGGGGTTAGACTGGACAACTCAAGACAAACCTGCAACAGTGAACTGGAGCAACATAACATTTCAGCTCAGGGCGGGCGATTACAGCCTGTACAAAAATCAAGTCATGCATATTTCAGTTTATACCAAAGCCCTCTAACACTTACATCCACAGGATCAAATATTACAAGAATGGGAGAAGAAGAAAAAAAAAAGGCAATATCTTTAAGAAAACAGAAACTCATGTCCCCCCCTGCAGAAAGAAACAAAGCAACTGACTGGAGATGCTGCAGCAAAACAACTCAAAAATAATTTACACACATTTTAAACAAGCACCAATCAAACTCTACAGAATTAGCCTAAAAGTCCAAAGTGTCAGTTGGGGATGGTCCAGTCTGGTCTGATCTGGTCCAGGTTTTCAGCTTCAGACCGGCCCTGATGGTGTACAACAGGATATCCTCTGACCTCTGAATCATGGCCGCATGGTGCAGGTGTGGAAGCCGTGTTTGCAGTGGATGCATTAGACGACATATGCCAGCTTATTAAACACCAACGCGTTATTTTCAGGAAGTCACTGCTGCTCTGCGAGTCGAAATGAAAACAGTCGGGACCCTGGTTGACCACATCCACAACTGAGCTTTGGAAACCCTCTTTTTTTTTTTTTGGACGCCACGGCAACTAGTCCACCTCCTCCATGTTACTGTAGGACGGTGCTGTGCACTCCGCAGAGTGAGCGAAAATGTCAGCTGGCACCTCCGGGGTGAGGGTGGGGGGTCCTTCAGGGTCCAGGTCTGTCCCAAACAGTGACTGGCTAGAGGCCTGGAAGATAAATCACCAGTTAAACGAAGGATCCTCAAACATTCACACTAGAGAAACAGGAAAAAAAAACACTTTCAGTCAAGGTTGTAGTGTGAATTTATTTAGAAAGCAGCATTAATACAGTACTGGAAGGAAATGGAAAGATATTACTTTGATTTTAATCATTTTACAGGTGGCTTCAAACTACTAACTCAGATTCCTTCCTTCCTCAATATTGCAACCTTCCTCATGCCTCTTCACATCAAGCTCAAAATGGCACGTCCAAGTTAAAAGCACATTAAAACGAGACGCATTGCATATGTCAGAGACAAGCATTCATATACCCTAATTTTAATTTATAAGAAAACATTTGAGGATAACAGACCACCTAATGCTGCTTTAGTACCGCTTTCCCTGAGACTCAGAAATGCTCTCAGAAAAAAAACAAAAACATCTGCATAAAGAAGGCAGAAATGTGAAAAATGTTGATATTGCTGCCGTTTTGCAATTTATAAATTAAATTCAATTTGATTACAATAAAAATATATGTGTATATATATATATACTTTGTTACAAAAGAAATGTTCAAAATATATAGGTACAATTTCTCACAGTGCTTTAAAATACAAAAAAATGTATATAGTCAGAAGGAAACAGAATTCTGAAATTTTAAGCTTATTCTGCAGCTTTGACTAAAAGAAAAAATATTGCTTACTACACTTCCTTCCAAAAAGTAAAGTATGTTTGTGGCTTTAAATATATCATGTAAAAATATATCAAACAAATTAAGACGTAATTAACTGTTATTAGGCATGGGATGGTTTCTGGAATCAAGGTAACAGCACTGCTCCTCCCCCACACGTTGCTGAACACAAAATTTTAAAAAGCCAAGTTCAGCTAAAGAAGCCCCATCTTCTATTCAGAAAATGGAGAAACATGGCGGATAAATTATGAGCATCCTCTGCTCACTACAGTAGTTTCAGTCAGAGGTTCATCTTCAGATCATCTAACTGTATTTAAGAAGGAACTTAAACAGTTTGAGTTGAAATATTTATGCTGTGGCATTTTGAATACCAGCCCAGCCCATACCTAAAGTACATTTAAAAAAAAAAAAACCAGATTACAGTGCAGAAAACATACAGGACGTGTAGAATACGACATGAAAGGGACAGAAAAGGACATTTTAAACTAAATCCACTGAATAAACCAGACAAGAACCAGGAGGAAAGAGCCTTCAGGTTGCAGCTTCACTGCAGGAGCCTTGTGCAGAGAAATGAAGGTTTCCTTCAGCAGCAGCTAGCTTCAGGCTAGCTTCCTTACTTCAGTCTAATTAGCCCTCCTAATGTCACTGACCCACAAACAGCCTTGCAGACAAACTACCGGTTCCCAATCAGGAAGCATCAACTAGAAAGTTCCACAGCTTTTAGCTCATCAAGTCTGCTCCAGGTAATAATTACTGACCTCAGATCACTTAGTAAAGAGTGGGCTTATTAAACCTTCAGAATGTAACTTTATATAATTTATTTTTGGAAACTGTCACTGTGCCTTGACAGTACGGCATGAGACAGATAAACCAAAAAAAGCTCCTCTGTCTTCTCCAAGCGGGCCTTAGCAGTGCCAATCATATTCATGGATAGACCTCTTACCCCGCTCTCTGCTACGCTGCAGCTAGCATAGCCTGTAATGAATGCTAAGGCTAGTTAGCAATGACAGTGGATAAAGGATTTTCATGTAATAGTAAGTTGCTTATCAGCCATTAGCACATTGAGCAGTGAATACATGAGGCTGACTGACATCGCTAAGACTTTCCTTCTGGCTCTGATTGGTTGGTTGTTTCTTCAGATGGCAACAGTGGCTCAGGGAGGAGGCAGAGGATAGCGATCTTTTCATAAGCTTTCTGACTGTCAGGACATGGTGACAGTTTTTTTGTTAATTTGTTTTTTGTTAGTTTTTTTTTTTAAACAAAAGTTACATACAGCAGTTTTAAAGCTACACATCTACCTTAGCCTCGACTATAAGACTACTTCTCGTTTATTATTGAAACATCTACCATAGTCCCATAGAATCCTTTCAGAAAGCATGTAGTGCAATCTTTGTTTCAAATACCTGTTATTAGAAAGGTATTTGTCGTATTTGAAAGCATTATTATTAAAAGGTTCATCTGATTTTGTATAGAAAGGGATAAACTAAGTTAACAAAGAGAGCGATGACTGCAGTGAGCGTGGCCACCACTAGATATCGCACGCAGTCTTCATCGGGATAGTCTGACATCTTGTGCCTGCGGCGGCGGCGTGCGCCTGCCTCTTCCTCGCCTCTGTTCCTCTCTACTTGTCGGCTTCGGAGTGGGGAGCGGAACAGTCCGCGAGGCCCTTCGTCGGGCCCCTCGTCTTCCTCCTCAAGTTCCCGCCATATTAGAGAGGCCTGCGATTGGCGGAAACCGGGTGTCAGCTTCTGGGAAAAGGCGAGTTTCTAACAAACACTCAGATCACACTTGGTAATGCCACAATGAGCTGCCTGCCGAGCAGGAGGGACGACAGGCAGGCCGAAGCTCATAACACATAAAGTATTCGTAGTACTTAGACGCTGGAACCATAAGCTGAAGTGTCATTTATGTGTCACGGATCAATACATGGGAGTACAGAAGAGAAGTTGAAGGAAAAGGATGGAAGGTTTTCAGAGATGACCACGGTGGTGGCAGTATCATGCTACAGCAATTGGAATACAAGTGTTTAGATGAATGGAGCTGAAAATGCAGCAAAAAAATAAATAAAAATAAAAATAAAAAAAGATTTTAGAGTGATTTATCTAGAACAGTTTTATTCATAAAAATCTTTGAAAACCATGATCATTTTCCTTGCACTTCACATGCTGGCCTATTGGATAAAAACAACAACCAATCCTATCCATAGGGACATTGAATGTTACAAGTCAAAAATATGAGAACTTTAAAAAGATGACTATTTTTTTTTAAAACAAAAAGCTAATTTAAAGAAATGACATCATGTGATGACACCATTTTCATGAACTACTCCGTTTCTGATTTCCACAGATTTTGCAGTAGCAAAAAAAAAAAAAAAAAAAAAAAAAAAAAGGTCGCTAGTGTAGGAAATTTCTCTTTTTCACTTTACCAATGTCAGAGAAAACAAATGCAACATGCTTATAGTGGCACGCATTGGCTTAAAAATGAAATCTGTTTTTGTTATTTTTTTTACAAAACCTTATTTCTGATTATATTTTTTTCCCTCACTTTTTTCTTATAAAACATAAGAAATGACTAAATACTTTCCAACACTTGCTTCAGTCATCCCTTCTGGGAGTCCAAATAAATACAAGCTAGAAAACAAGATGGTGGCTTTGGGTGGAATAACATCACTCAAGTATGGAAACACAAAGAATACATTGGTGGAAAAACAACCCGATTTTCCAACAATTACATTTCCAAAAATCGGAAATTGGATTAAGTGATAAAAATGGATTTATTGCCCTTAGAGGCATTATAAAATGCACAGCTGTTTTTAAACATTTTGAATCGGTAAAAGGAGACCTTTGCAGGTTGGCTTTATTCATAAGAACTCAGAAAAATCTATGATTAGTGGGTGTTGTTTCTCAGACATTTTACACACACGCTGCTGTTTTGTAACCAATTAAAAGCTCCTCCTAGTGGCTGGAACATTTATTACAACAAACCTCTGAAAAGTAAATTTGAACATCTAATCAACATGTGATTACGTGGCACTATTTAACAAACAGCTTTATGTTACTATGGTTGAAGAAATTATCAACCGTTCATTTAAAGTACAGCTCAGAACCCGGGAAATAAAACCAAAGCCTCTTTATAAAGAGAACCCTGTGGTTTCTTATGGTTGTGGCGCCCTCACCTGGCTGGCAGAGGCTCCTGTGGCTGTAGCTGACTCGGCTCCGGGTGAGAGGAAGCGTGGTGGCCTCTCCACAGGGGAGTTCCTGCGGCGGTAGAACAGGACGTAGGCGTAACGCGTCACCACCTGGCTCTCCTCCACCATTGTCACGGTGCTGTCGTCGAACAGCCGCCACCCTGTAGCCACACATAGAAGACAAACTCAGAATGCAATATAATAAAGGAGCACATTTACAGAAAGTAACAAGTGATGTTCTGATGTGAATCAGTCGCAGCGTTTTTACAGGGTATCTATAGGTTTCAGCACGCCAAATTTAAGACTTTTTTAATGTCACTTTGAGTAAAATTTAAGACAGAAAAAACTATAAATATAAGGTATGATTGGAGAAAGTTTCTGAATTGCAATCAAGAATGGTACAAGAAAAATGGGAATCTGGATTTGTGCCCATAACAGATGCAAAAAAATAAATAAAAATCTAGCTAGCTAGCAAGGGTATATTGGCCTGGAAACTAGCTGACTACTCAAGACGTTCTGTGCCCTGAGGAACAGAGTGCAATGAGGGTGTTTGTGGGTGACTCAAACTTTTGCCAGACAGAAAAATATTGCGGGAAAAAGGAAAAAAAAAAAA